GTCGGCGGCGGCAGCGGCGACGAGGCCGCGCGGCGCCGGCAGGCGGCCGCCGTCCTCGGCGCGCGCCGATTCTGCCAGATCGCCAAGGCCGGCCACGAGATCTCCGAGATCTCTCAGATCACTCAGATCACGAACTCCACTGCGTGCTGCCCGCTGCACTGCCAGGAGACACTCCTGCAGCAGCCCGTGCGGCCCTGCGACAAAGCCGAAGCGGCCCCAGGCGCAGACGCACGCAGACAGCTCCCTCAAACCCCCGCCCGCAAGCCGCCCGCCCACCGCGCCCCCGAGCCGCCCCGCCGCCTCGCGCAGCTGCCTGCCGCCGTCGTGGCGGCACGCGCCGCCGGCCAGGGCGGCGAGCGCGGCGGCGGCGTCAGACAGGGGCGGCGGAGGCGCGCCCGCGGCGGCGGCCCGGTCAAGGAGCTGCAGCAGCGTTGCGGTTGACTGACAAGATGAGAGGAGGGCGCGCCTCGCGGGCGGCGGTGCTTGCACCCACGCGGCGACGGGCTGCGGCCGCGGCGGCGGGCCCGGGCGGGGGCCGCCAGGCTGCGGAGTAGGGGCGGGGAACGGAGCCGGGACGGGCGGGCCTGGTGGCTTTGGGGGCGGCGGCGGCGGCGCCTGTAGCTGCGGGTGTGACGGAGCGACGGCCGGTGCTGCCGCGTCGGCGGCCGCGGGCGTGTGGTGTGCGGCGCCCGGCGGCGCTGGCCCGGGCACGAGCCAGAGCGGCGGCGCCGCAGCGACTGGCCAAGCGTGCGGCAGGTGCCCTGCCTGCGCCGCGGCCGCGTGCATGGCCATCTGCTGCATGTGCGCCTGTATCTGGATCGCGTTGTGTGGCACAAACACCGCTGTTGGCTGCAGCCAGTGCGTCCCCGGCGACAAAGCTGTCGCCGCCGCCGCCGCCTCCGTCGCCGCCACCACCATCTGCGCCGCCGCCGCCATCTGCGCCCTCGGCGCGCCGGGCGCGGCCGAGCAGCGGGCGCCGGAGGCTGCGGCGGCGGCGCTGTGATGGCGCGGCGGCCGCCCTTGCCGCTCCGTACCCCGCGCTGTGTCTGCAGCTGCCGGCACCCAATAGCCCCCCCTTGAAATGCACGCCCACTGCGGGCCCAGCGGCCCCGCCACCACGCCCGGGGCGGCGGGGCTGCGCGCCGGCTGCGGGTTGGCAGGACGCTGCAGCTCACGCGGCGACTGCGGGCGGCGCCGCGGGTCGACGGCGCGTCTGTCGCACGGAGTGCCTGCAGCACAGTGTGGCGTGCTGGTGCCGCCGCCGCCGCTGGCGTTGCTGGATTGAAAGCAGCTCTGCGATGCCCCATGATCCTCTTGAGTCGCAGATGCGCCCAACTGTCGGTGGCGGGTGGCTGGCGGGTAGTTGGTGCTGGCCTGAAGCGGCAGCTGCGGGTGGGGGTTGGCCCAGCAGGACACTATCTGCTGCTGCTGCTGCTGCTGCTGCTGCTGCTGCTGCTGCTGCTGCTGCTGCTGCTGCTGCTGCTGCTGCTGCGGCTGTGCCACGTGTGCGCACGCGCCCTGCTGCACCCACTGGACTGTTGCGGTGGCGGCTGCCGCCGCTGCGGCGGCCGCCCCCGCGACAGGGTGTACAGGGGATGAAGAGGCGCTGCCGTCGCAGCCACCTTGAAGGAAGAAGTTGCCACTGCCGCTGCAGCTGCGCACGCTAAAGCTGCCGCTGCGAGCGCGCTGCTCTGCATTGCAGATGCGCGGCAGGAAAGCACTGGGGCCGGCGGCGACTGCCGAGTGTGGGGCGCAGGGGTACCCCGATGCAGACGTTTGAACAGCAGCGGGCACCGCCGCCGCTCGTGCGGGGCCGCCGCAGCAGTCCAGAAGCCCCGCCTCGCCAGCGCCGCTGCTGCCGCTGCTCCTGCTGGGTGCGGCGGCCGCGTTGGTCCCCGAGCCAGCTGGCCCTTGGTAATTTTGCAGCAGGCTCCCGAGGTTGCTGCCGCCGCTGCTCCCGTCGCTGCTGTCGCTGCCGCTGGTGCTGCTGCCAAGTTGCTGCTCGCACTCATCCGCTGTGCTGCACCCCTGCTCCCCATCCTGCTGCCTCTCGCCCTGCCCTGGCTCGCTCTGCTGATGCTGTGCTTGCCTGTGCACCTGAGACGCTTCCCACGCCTCCCTGCACATCTGCATCAGCCGCGCCGGCAGCGCGCCCTCGAGCCCGCCCTCGCAACCGGGCGCCGACGCGACCCATCCGTGCACGGCGCGCAGCCACAGCAGCGTCTCCGTCCCCGGCGCCGCCTGCGCCGGCGCGGCGGCCGCCTCGGCACGCGCTTTGGCTCTGAGCAGCATCCGCTCGAGCGTCTGCGGCGCAGAGGCCGCCGCGTCTGCGGCTGCCGCGCTGTCCTGCCCCTCCCCTGTATACTCCCAACCAGCTGCGCTCTCGCACAGCGCCCGCACCAGCGGCGCCAGCGCACCTGGCATCTCCAGGGCCGCAGCCGCGTGGCCGATCGTGGCCGCCTGCTGCAGGGTCACCCGCCCGGCGGGCCCCGGCGTTGCCGCCAGGCCGCCGGCCGCTTGTAGGATGAGGCGCATCAGGTTGTCATCGCGGTGGCGCGCCCTGGACAGCGCGGACGCGATTTGGCAGAGCCAGGCCGGCGCAGGCGCGGCCGCGGGGCCGGGCGACGGCGCGTGCAGCAGCTCGGCCGCGGCGTTGCAGACAGCGGCAAAGGCGGCCCGGCCGCCGCGGTCGCCGGCGGCCGCGCCAAGCGCCGCGGCGCAGTCGAGCACAGCGGCCGCGTCGCCCAGCGCGCCCGGCGGCGGCTGCGGGGCCCCCGGCGCCGTGACGGCCGCGGCCGCCGCCGCGGCTTGGCGCAGTAGCTCCTGGCCGCAGCGCGCGGCGGCGGCGGGCGCGAGGCAGGGTGAGCTGCCTAATGCGAGGCGTGCGACCGTCCTGAGCAGGCCCGCTATGCACCCGATGCGCATCCGCGCCATGGGCGGCGGCTGCCGAGCGTGAGACTGCGGATGCGCGTGAGGCGCGAGGGCGTGAGATGCTCCCCTGGGCTGCTGATCGGCGACGCTGCCGTGGTCACCACTCGCAAAATCAGGCGACCCCGCTTTTGCCAGCGAGTCATCGGGCCGCAGCTCGACGCGTCCACTGCCGCCGCCGCCGCCGCCGTCGCGGCCGCCGCCGCAATTGCCTCCATTGTAGCCGCCGTCGCCCGCCCCAACAAAGACCACGCTCTCCACCAGCGCCAACCACTCCGCCGCCGAGTACGGCTCCTGCCAGCCGGGCCGCTGGCGCAGCTCGCCGAGCGCCTGCAGAAGCGCGTACGGTGCCACCGCGCTGCCATGTGTCGCAAACCTGCCCTCCATGCCGCAGCCGCCGGCCGCGGCGCTGGCGGCTGCGCCGCTGTGGGGCCCAATGGCGCGCGTTGCTGCAGGGGTGAAGGAGGCGGCGCGGCGGCCCAGGGCCAAGGACTGGCCGGGCGTGACGCCGCAGGAGAGGGTGCCGGCAGCCCACAGGACATCGCAGACATGCCGCGCCTCCACCTGCAGCGGCGGGGCGGCGAGGCGAGGCCATTTCCCAGGTGGGTGGGCAGCAGGGGATGTAAGCAGGATGGGGGGGGCCGATCGCTCAATCTTGCTTGGCAGCTGGGTGAGCTGAGGGTCCACAGATGGCTGAGGGCGGCCGGCAAGATCCCCTGCCCTGCATGGTCCACCCCACAATCAACGAATCCCGGGCACACGAGCATGCAAGATGCAGCAGTGGGCATCCTTTCAGGCGCTGGTGTGTGCTCACCACCGCGCCGCCACGCTCCTCATCCATCAGCAGTTCTCGCAGCCGCTCCGCAGCCGCCGCCACCACGGACTGCATCAACGCTCCGCTCGCGGCGCCGCCGCTCGCGTCGCCCGCCCCGCGCCCCGACCCTTGGCACTGCTGCTGCTCGCTGTCGCTGAAGTGGGATGTGTCGGACTCAGCAAGCTTTGCCAGGCCCCAGCAGGCGTTGCCGACCCCCAGGGCTGTGTTGTGGGTGGCGAGGTCGATGAAGCGGCGGAGGGTGGCTGCAAGCAGCTCGTCGCACGGGGCGCCCCCGAGGCGGCCCCTGCAGCGGGGGTTGGGGAGGAGCAGGGCCGCAAGTCAGCAGCTGTGGGAGGCGGCAGGACTGCCCTGGGTGAACATCCTGGATTCAAGTCGTTAGCAATCGACCAAAATGCTGAGCCAACACTGCTGTCGTGGGCATACAGCCCGCAGGCGCATGCCTGGCAGGGCCGGACTGATTTTTGGACACGGGGCAAGGGTGCCGGCCAGGCGGGCAGCGGCTGGGGTTTGCGGAGGCTGCTGGTCAGGATGAGGGACGTCCCCTTTATGAAACCGGGGCCTCACCAGGAGTAAATGAGCGTGGACACCTCCCTCGGCCCCAGCGTGTGCATCAGCGCCATCAGGCCGGGCGCGAGGCCGGCGGCCAGCTCTCGCGCCTGCTGCAGCACTTCTTGCCCCGCCGCAGCAATTTCTGCCGCGGCGGCGCCGGCTGTTGGATCGGGCCAATCCAGCAGCGGCTGGCGGCGCATGGCGATCGAGGCGGCCTGGCTGAGCGCGCAGCAGAGGTGGATGCCGTTCAGATGGGGCCCCAAGGGCAGTACGGCCTGCCGCAGCTGCTGGATGGACCGGCAGGACGACAGGAGGGAGGTGAGCTGGCGCCCCGGCAGCCTGGGGCGAGCTCCGCGTGGTGTGAAGGGCTCGGTATTGGCGGGGCCGGAGCAGGCGGGTGACAAAAGGCCCTTGGAGTTGTTGGAACTGCCGGTCTGCAGGGCGGGCCCAGGGCGGGGTCGTGCCAGGGTATGGCAGTGTGTCAGAGCAGCAGGACGGTACTGCCCAAGAGACAGGAGCTTGAGGGGCGTCATGTTGACGCATCGAGATGAAGCTTGTGTCAGGCAGTGTAACTTGTGCGCATGCGCCCGTCTGGACATGCATGGTGGGCTGGTGGCAGGCAGGCGCGCTGCCTTGTCTCCGCAGTGCAACGGCAAACGTCGCTCGGCGGGGTGGCATGGGGCCTGGTGTTGAGTGGCGGCGCTGCGCTGCACACCCGCATGAATGATGGTGCTCTCATCCTTGTGTCGTGATATCTCATCTTCAGCAAATTTGAGCGCGCTGTTGATCGCGCTGCTGATCGAGATGTTGTCAGCACGCCGCTGACCTGGATCGAGGGCGATGACAGGACTGTTCCTTCAAACTAAAGAATTATCTAGTGTCGACATGCCATGCACGCAGGCACGGCACGGCACGCTGCATAGATCATTCCGAAAGCCAGGCTCCAACGCTGCGAGCAGGACAGACCAAGGCTTTGTTCCTAAACAACTGAATATTAAAAGAAATTTCATGGTTCCGGAAATGTGTAGAAACACCTGTAGCCAGGGCAAACACGAAATATCCTCGCTGGATATTGACCTGCACACTTCGAATGCGCCTCTCGGCCTCCTGGTGGGGTGTCTGGCACTCCCTTAGCAAAACAAGTGCAGGCCCTGCACCATGCCAAGGTCCCGTGGGCGACAGAAACCCTTTCGAAGGCTGGAGACAGGGGGCTGTGTTGGAGGTTTGGATGACTTCATGTTTCCTTCCAATCGCCGCCAATCGTTGTTGTCAACGCTCATACGTGTCCCCCCAAATACTCTTGTCACCGTTGTGATGTCACAGGGGTGACAGTTACACGTCGCACCCTGTCCAACTGGGTCGCGCTGGAGGAGACAGCACCTGGCTACTCAACGTACAGCATCCTCGTGCGACCAACTCCCTGCCACGGGCAACAAGACATGCATGCATGCAAGGCATGATCGCGGCTGATCTGGTATCAGCCTCTGAGCACTGCCCCGCTGACTTGCGCGCGACCACCCGTGCACCTGAGCTCTAAGCACCCGGGGTGATGGCTGGCGCCGCCGGTGCTGATAGCCGCATCCCCTTGGCCAGCCGCTCCAACACAAGAGACAAGTGCTTCCTGAGCCGCTGCGTGTCTTTGGCGGCCGCCAGCGGCGGCACCACCGCGGCCGCCTCCTTGCTGTTGCGCGCCAGGGCGGAGCGCAGCAAGTGGGTCAGCCCGGCCTCGACCTCCTCCTCCCAGCCGACCTGTTTCGGGCAGCGGGGCAGGGGCGCCCGGCAGCGTCCCGTCCGGGTTTGCAGTGGGGTTGGGTAGGGACGGCGGCAGCAGCAAGACGATCACTTGCATCATAGATGATGACAATTGCATGTCGCTGCTGTGGTGCATTCCAAATGTGCTGAGCAAGACAAAACGCCCGCGCTAGCGCACCTCAACAGGACTGCTGCATCAGAAACGCGGCAAGGAATGAGGCACGATTGCCAAGTAAAGAATGGCTGTCCTGACTGCACGCCCGATGCGAACTGTCGGCGCACCTCTGCGTCGTCGTGACCGACTGTGGGTGTGAGCGACTCCTTCAAGACTGCCACATCTTCATCTGGCGTACCGAACTTTGCGCTGCGAGTAGATGGTGTGTGTGTGTGTGTGTGTGTGTGTCACGTAACGAGGGTGATGGCGCAAGTTGCCTACCCGTGCGCTTCATTTCTTGTTTGTTCATATGCCATGCACGCGCGCGCGCCCAGGCGTGTGTGTGTGTGTGTGTGTGTGTGTGTGTGTGTGTGTGTGTGTGTGCACGCGCGCATACGTGCAAGCGCACACACATTCGCTTGTGTACGACAGTGGTTGAAGCTGGCCATCTTCCTTCAAATTGTAAAACTTGCAAGGCAAGCCAACAGGCCTGCCTGGCACCAGGCAACCAGGCTGCCTGGTGCCACTCCCCGCACCTGATCAGCTGCAAGAGCAGCTGCACACCCGCACCCAGCGCCTGCGCTGCGCCCCGCGTCGCCGTCTGTGCCGCCTCCTCCTCATCCGCCAGGGACACCAGCTGTGCGGCGGCGCGCAAGGCAACGCGGCAAGCGATCGAGGGGCGCTGTTGCGCCGACAGCTTTAGCACGCGCGGCCCCGCCTGAAGGCTCGAGGAGCTCCAGCATCCTGCTGCGCTTGTCAGCCCACGGATGCGCGCGACTCAATCACATGGCAAGTATGCCGGGTAAATGAATAACCGCATGCAATTGGCTGGACCATTGAACCAGACCCCAAAGCAGGGGGCCCAACCTGGTCGTAAGTTTCCGCCATCAGCGTGTCCAGCTCAGCGAGGGGAGCAGGTGTCTTGTCCTGGACAGGAGTTGGCAAGCATAGACGCGCGTCGGCCTCAGCAGGAAGCACAAGGGGAGAGCGAGTCGAGGAGGGGGGCCTGCCAGCAACAAGACAGCCAGCAGACGAGGGCGGTCGTGCTGGGGCACGCTGCGACTGCGTCAGCGATGCGACGGTCAACCACGGCTAGCTGGGGATTTGGGTTTTTGGCATTGCGTGACTGCTGCGGCCATTCGAGCAATTCTGACAAGGCCCGCCTCGGCTGTCCTGCCGTGCGGCCCCAGGAGCAGGGGCTCCTGTTGCTCGTCCCGAAATCGCCCTGGTGCACCCCCAGCTTGACACCACGCCCGCCCGCCGTCCGCACCCGCAGCGCTCCTGGCCCCGCCTGCGCCACCCAACGCCGGCGCGCCCTGCACGCACCTTGAAGCGCACCAGCAGCCGCTTCTGCACGCTCCTGAACTGCTGCGCGCGGCCCTCAAGGGTCGCCGCGAGCGCCCGCTCCGTGCGCCGCGCCTCAAAGTGGGCCTCGATCAAGTCGAAGAGGTCCTGAGGTGGGTTGAGTCATGCAGGACATTAGTCATTAATGGTAGGTGTACTAGCTGGAGCGTCGGCCTTTGCGATTGAGGTTGTCAATGCAAATGGTGCCACCCGTAGTTCTCGAAAATACCAAGGACCACTTGGCAGGTACGCAAGTACAGGCAAGCACATGCTTTTTGTGCGACCTCTGCATTTGTTTTCCCTAGCACATCATCAAATGATTCGTGGCGCGCGCGCACACACACACACACACACACATACACCCACACACACACACACAATCACACAATCACACACAATCACACAATCACACACACTCACACCCACTCGCCCACACTCACCCATTCACTGATTCACACACATACACACTCACACTCACACTCACACACACACACACACACACGCGCACGAACTTGCGCACACGCGCACATACACACACCTGCAGCGGCAGCGGCTCCTGCAGCGTCACCACCAGGCGGCCGCCGTCGGGCGGCGCCGGCGCGCCTGGCTTGGCGTCCAAGGCACGGTAGTGCGCTGCCAGGCGCTGAGTCAGCTCCTGAAAACGAGGTGGATGGCGCCCAGTGATGGAGCGTTGAGGCACGGGCGCGGGCGTATGCAACAAGGCTTGGGCGGGCGAGCATGCGAAGAGCACGTCCATGAGCGACCAAACTTGGGCAAGTCACTGCAGCTGTCCTACTGCGTCGAGGAAGATGCAGAGGCAGCCTCGTTTTGTTGTTTGCCATACTAGGCATTACACCGGCCTTTGTGGGCTGCTGTCTTGGCGGTGTGCCTGAAATGGACTCAAAAACCGCCATGCTACGCTGCAAAGCAGCGCGCTTGCCACTACATGCGGCTGTCACTACATGCGGCAGCATGGCGCTCGGAACCCCAGCGCTTTGCTGCCGCATGTAGTGACAGCCGTGGCCCTTGACGGGGCCCACCTGCATCACCAGCCACATGGCCTGGAAGCAGTCGCTCTGCAGCCGGTACCGCCCACCCGCCTTGGACACCAGGACACTGACCAACGGCCCAGTCCCGCCGTACTGCAGGCCAATTATGTTTGCCCCCTGGCTGCGCGCCATTGCCTCGGCCTGCGCGGGCGAGGCCTGCAGGTTGCGTGCGCATGGGCGTGGCGAAGGCGCGGCGGAGGCGCGTGGTGCTGATGGCAAGTCGCCGCATGCAGAAAGTTTGGGGACGGCGACCATGCATTTGGCAAGAAAGCGCGTTGCGGCCATCCACCCATGAAGGCTGCATCTGCTGCCACACGCATGGCGCGTGGCAAATCCATAGGAATTCATGAGAAACGAGCGCAGTTGCACACGCGTGCACACACACACACACACTCACACACACACACACACATGCACGCAGACACACATACACACACAGGTATTTATGCAAAACACAAGTTAGATCTGGCGCGCCTGTGCAATGAGATCGTGGAAGATGAGCTGCATGTGGGGCGGGTCCCTGTTGGTGTCCAGAGTCAGCTTGCACTCTGCAATCATTCGGCGCAGGAAATGGTGGGTGGGCAGGGAGCAGGGGACAGCAGAGCACGCTAAGTGATCCATGCACCCTTGGAAGAGAGCCGAAAGCCTCGATCTCTGCTGCATTGGGAAGGGCATAAATCGAAGTGATTGTTTGTGTGATTGGCGCACATCCCATGGCTCCGTCCAGCAACTGCAGAGAGCATCCATCATGACTGCTAAGACTCATTTTGACAATATCAAAAAGACTGATTGGTCCCAGACGCACCCGCGGCCTTGACAGGCGGCACCGCCAAGCAGAAGAGCGCCAGGGGCAGGGCAAACTCGAGGCTGCTGCTGCACTGCTCCCCGCTGCCCGGCTGCTTCCAAGTGGCGACCACCTGATGCGAGGGAAGGGCATGGGGGCAAGGAGCCGCTCGCAGCCCAGTGAGGAGGAGCGCAGAGGGGCCAGCGGAGCACCTAGCAGTCCAGCCTCCCAGTTTTCCGGCCTGTCGATTTCATGGTGTCAGCAGTGCTCCCCACAAACCAGTCATGTAGGCGGACTGGTTCGGCCTACCCGTGCCATGTTGGAGGCCGGGACAGCACCACGGCCCTCGCCGCCGGCGAAGAAGGTTAGGTGGACGGCCGCCGGCGCTGGTGCCGTGGGGGCACTTTTGGATGCGGCCCCTGGAACCTCGGAGAGATCGATTGACACGTCCGAGGCTGACGTGGGGGCCGGCGCGGCAACGCTGAGGTGGACGTCCTGCGCGTGTTGAGATGCGGAAAGGGTGTGTATTGGTGTGTGTAAGTATACGTGTGTGCGGTATGCGTGTGGGTCATACACATACGCTTGAGCAGGACAACACCTGCGCTCAAAAGAACTCCAAAGAACTCCTCTGCCACTGTGAATGAAAAAGAGGCGACCACTCATCACCCCTGACCATAACTAACGACACGCACAGCCCAACACCCACCTTCAGCGGCCCCGCGCCAGAGTGTGAGAGCAGCAGCCGCACCGTCACCTGCCGCGCGCCCCCGCCTGCGCCCCCGCCCAGCCCGGCAAACCCGCTGCTCCCGGCATCCAGGTCATCGAGCCGGCTCGGCACCTGCGCCTTGATCATGACCCGCCCCGCCGCGGCGGCCGCCGCAGCAGCTGCTGCGGCTCCCTCCTGCGCAGGCGCGTCCGAGGCAGCGTGTGCACACGTCACTCTTAAAGAAAGCTTCAACCGCGCTGGCAGATGTGCAAAGACACGGCCCCTCGCTCGCAGCATGCCGACCCGACCAAGCATGAGCGAAGCGGCGAGATCTGGCTTAGGACGCTCACCGCCAGCGCCGCGCCGCCCGCGCCCCCGGCCGCGCGTATCGCCGCAAGGAGGCTCCTGTGCTCCGCGTCCATCCCAGCATAGTCCAGCGGCCGCGCGTCCCCCGCGGCTGCGACGGCGGCGCTGGGCGGGTCCGTGCCCAGGTACAGTGCAGCAAGGCGGCCTGGAGAGGAGGCGAGAGGGTGCCAGCGCGGGCACGTGCGCGGTTCGAGGCGGCCGTCGTGACGCGAGCTCGGGTCCTTTAGACACGCGTTGCTGGTCCCTGCTGCTCAGACGTGGCGCGCGGCCGGCAGTTCGCTGCGCCGCGCGCGATGCGGGCGGCCAATGAGGCCCCCACCTGCATCGTCCAGCGCGACGATGAGGCCCTTCACACCCCCCAGCTCGGCCACCCTCAGCGCTACGGGCTGCAGGTCCAGCCGCGCCGCCCATGCCAGTGCAGACCCTTGGTACACCAGCAGCGCCCGCGTGTGCGTCGAGACCAGCAGGCTGTCTGCCGCGCCGCCGGCACCGCTCGAGCCGGCCGGATCGGGCGGCGCTGGGTAGGGCCAGCAGCACGCCGGGTGATACTCCAGACGGCGCTGCAGCAGCAGCTGCCCGCCCAGGGACGACACCACAAACAGGCTGTGCTCGCAGACAACCAGCAACTCCTGCCTCGCCGCTGCTGACGAGGACGACGCGAAGGCGCCTAGGGCGTCCCCGCGGCCCGCAGCGCCCGCTGACGTGGCGCTGGCCGCAGCTGACGCGTTCTCGTTGAAAGGCACGCGCGCCAGGCAGATGTCCACGGCAGTCTCGCCAAGCACCAGGCGCCAGTCCGCGTACACGCGCTTGGAGGCACCTGCGCCAGGCGCAGGCGCGCCGGCTGCGGACGCATGCGAGCCAGCAAGCAGCCGGTTGGAGCGGCAGCGCAGGGGGAAACTGTGAGCACAGACAGCCAGAGCACCACCGAAAAGCGGGACAGGCAGGGAGAACTGTTCAGCTGCCCAAGTGCGAGGCAGGCGGCGGCGCGCCGGGTAGCGCAGTGAGCGGGGCCGGCAGGTGTGAATCATGCGCACCGGGCTCCCTGCCGGCTGCGGCTGCGGCCAGCACGCTGTATCGGTAACTCTCAAGCTCCAGTGCCGCGTTGCAAGTCACAAAGCTGTCTGTTGCAGGGCTGTGGGAAGAGGGGGATTATGTGAGCATACTCACAACGCTTGGGGACACACATGCGCCTTTGCGCGTGCGCGCCAATCAGGGGTTGTCTTTGATCATTGATACCCCAGGCGCGAAGGTCGCCGCAGTGGCCCGCCTCAACGCCCTTGTACTCAAGGCAGGAGGGCAAGAAGCAGGCTGGTGGTGCAGTTGCAGTTTGAGCTGGGAAACCCCGCCTTGCACACCAGTAGCAGAGGGGCCCGGGGATCAGGAAGTTTGGCAAGAAGCGGCTGAACGCCGCCACCTCCGCCTCGAAAAACGACAGCTGGCCGTCGTACGACTGGACGCAGATGGCATCCAGGCCTGCGCCCAGTTTTTGTGCACGGGGTTATCCGCTTTGTGGCTCTGACGGGGGGCCTAGCCTGTAAGTGCTGGGGCTGCGGGAGCACAGCAAGACTCTAGCGCTGACGGCTGCCCTGCATTGCAACACAGCCCGCAAGCGGCAAACGGCGGTTGAGCTGGCAGCGGGGCACAGGTTGCAATCATGCGCACCAGATTTGCCACTGCCAAATGCCCCCACTGCCATGTTGGCGGCGGTGTGTTCCAGTTGGTGCTCAAACAGCCGCGTGACCTGCGCATTCCCACAGGCATAAAAGCGCACACAGAGCACCTTGCACCGGCGCGCGGCCACTTCGCGTGCGATCGTGTATCCATGACGGCCGCGACAACAGCACATGCATGCAATGCCCCAACACGACACGTCACGCGTGCTGCAGCCGTACGTGGCGAACAACGCCCCGCGCGCCGGCTGCATGTGCATTGTCGCACCTGCAGGAAGCTGGAACCTGATGCCTCAAACCTGAGGACAGCCAGCTTGCGGGGGAACAGGACCGCTAGGCACAGGCCAGCCTGCCCCCTGCACGTGTTGCAGCGGGCACTTTTCAGATGTCAACCCCTGCTTACACCGCGCTCCTTGCCAGACGGCTGGCCGCTGCCACGGTTGCACGCGCGGGCAGGGTCGGCCGCAGCGCGCGTACGCCGGAGGACAACCGCGGCTTGCGCGCGCGGGCCCCCGCACCCTGCAAAGCGGCCGGCCTCGATTTGCAGGATGCCTGATTCCAGCTGCGATTCCAACAGGCAGTCCTCCACCCGGAAGTCTCGGCCGTGGGGCAGGTGGACCCGCAGCACGCCCTGCAGGCTGGCCGTCACGATCTTGGCTGCGCGAGGTCGTGCGTGAGGTGCTGCGATCCTCGGCTACACGATGCTCGGCAACGAGCAGAAAGGCGCGGCCATGCGTGCGCTAGGCGGGCGATGGGCCGGCATGGCCCACGCGCATGCGCATGGTGCGGTGCAACTCTAAAGGGAGGTCATGCGCATGGTCCATGCATCGCCATGCACGCCGCTGCGGCGGACGCCGCGGTCTGCACCGCACCCGCGCCAGATGGGTCGTTGTCGATGTTGGCGACGCACAGGGAGCGCTGGTCAAACTCCTCGCTATCCCCCAGCCGCGCCGCCCACCACTCTCTGCTGCCGAACAGCGACATGGCGCTGCTGCGCCGCGCGCTGCTGGCCGCTGCTGTAATGAGCCCGTCTCAACCTGGGCGGCCCCGGCACGGGCGCTTCGCAGCAGCCATCCACAATAGGGGCCCAATAGCTTCGAGCTAGCACGGGGCTAGATGCTGTATGATTATTTGAACTGTATGCTGCTGCTATGCAACCGAGTGCTCCGGACTTTCACTTTCGTTGCCGCGCAGACCATGCCAGGCAAGATCACGCCGGGACGAGGAAAGAATGTGATATCATACTACTGTATTTTATCCGTTGTATGATTGCTGTTACCATTACCGTACTATGATATAATATGATACTGTGCTTACCGTACAAGACATCCATCGATTCACCAGAGCGAAGCCTGGCCGATCTGATCTGCCCTCAGCCCTTGTAAATGAGTGTCATTACTAGGAGATTGCGTGGTGGACTCGCCACATCACCGCGCCTGCGGGTGGCGCACACCCCGAACCATTACTGCACTCGTAGCAGCAAAGCTGCGAGGCCAAACTCGCAACATCAAGGTCAGCATGGAGGCAAGTCAAACATACAAGTTGCTGCTCGTTGGCGCGTGACGTGTTTCACCGCGTCTCACGGGCGCTGCCGGCTCTGTTCACAATGCAGCGGTGACTGCGGCTGGCGACGGCACGCCGGTGGAAGAGCACCCCGCCAGTGCTGAGGGCCCATCTACAAGCGGCCGCGGTGATGCCAGGGACTGGGGCCTTACAACAGCCGGCGAGGATACGATTGCTGCGGTTGTGACAGGTGAGCACTCGTCCACACACCCTGCAGCCGCCACCGAGGCACTCTCTGCGTGCAAACGAAAGGATTGACCGACATTGAATTCGTTGGCGTCTGTCTGTGTGTGGGCGCGGTCACGCGTGTAAAAGTACAAAATTTCCCCGCAACACAAGTCGGCCAGGCGCCGTGCAAATGGCTCGCTCTCGAATCCAACCGCCCCAGGAGTCACTGCACATGGGTCTGTGGCTATTATCCGCATCAGCGGCGCCGACGCGACCCGCATTGCGGCAGCGGTGTTCTGGCCTGGGGGCCGCTTCAAGTTTGGCTGGAAGCCGGAGAGCCACAGGGTTTACTACGGGACCATCGTGGATGGCAATGGTGACGTCATCGATGAAGCGGTGCTCGTCCCCATGCTGGCGCCCAGGTTTGCAGGGCCGGGGGGGGGGGCGATGGACCGTAAGATCAGCAGTAGGTTCACCTGGGTCCCTTGGCTAGTCACCATCCCTGCCAATACGTTGCGCGGTTGCCCTTAACCATAACTGCTCAGCAGCTGCTCAGACCGCCCTGCTGGCTCGGGCTCTCCTACGGTTTCTTTGCATTGCAGCAGCCCTTGCAACCGTGCCTCACGATCGCAGCAGCCGGCCCTCAAACACCCCTGCGTGGCCGGACCCCTGAACTTCCCGCCGTGAATTCCTGCCAGGTCGTACACACGCGAGGACGTCATCGAGCTCCAAGTTCACGGTGGCCCCGTCTGCTGCCGCCGCGTGCTGCGCGCCGCGATCGAGGCAGGCGCGCGGCCGGCACGGCCCGGAGAATTCACGCTGCGGGCCTTCCTGAATGGCCGCCTGGACCTGAGCCAGGCGGAGTCTGTGATGCAGCTGGTGGAGGCGCGGACGGCGGCGGCGGCGGACAGCGCGCTCGCCGGGCTCAGGGGCGGCGTGGGGCAGGAGGTCCGGCAAATCAGGTTGGGGCAGGGTTAGGTTCGGGGGGAGGGGTGTTTCGTGGGAGGCATTCACGGGGCAGAAGGGGACGGGAGGCAGGCCGTAGAGGGGGGCGCAGTGGCCATCGGACGCCACAGGGGTGCCGGCTTCAAAGCTTCAGGCGGCGCGCCGGGCGCCAGCCGAGCGCTGCAGGCCCGCAGGGCGGCCTGAGGGCGGGTGCTTGGGGCGGGGTTCAATACAGCGCTTGGTCGGCAGGAGCTCGCACCTCGCGCCTCGCACGCCGCATCCTCAACGGTGAACCGCGCCGCCTCGCGCCGCCCGGTTTCTGTCGTGGCGGCGTGGCACGAGGGTCTGATCTCGTGATCTGATTTTGCGACCTGATCTGATGATCTGATCTGGCCCAGGGAGGGCGTCCTGGACGTGCTGGTGGAGGTTGAGGCCCGCATCGATTTCGAGGAGGACCTGGGGCCGCTGGACACAGACGCAGTGAAGCGCGACGTGGCGGCGCTGCAGCGGGACATCGAGGCGGCGCTGCGCACGGCGCGGCAGGGCGCGCTGCTGCGCAACGGCCTGCAGGCGCGCGGCCGGCGCGCGTGGGAGGAGGGGAGGCGCGGTGTCGCCGCTCAAGCCTGTCGTGCATTGGACAGTAGCCTGTATTTTTGGGGGACCGCTCTCACTTCCAGCCGCCTCTGGCAGGCGAGGGAGTGGGTTAGGTGCATGCTTTGCGGCCCAAGTGGCTGGGTGTCGCTGCTCCAGATGTCTGCTCACGCTTGAATTGCCGCCCCTGACAGGTGGCGATCGTTGGGCGGCCTAATGTGGGGAAATCTTCGCTGCTCAACGCGTGGACGCGGACGGACCGGGCCATTGTCACAGACATCGCCGGCACCACGCGGGATGTGTTGGAAGCGGGTGTGTTCTTATGCTGGCTCACCCCTTGTGGCGCACTTGTGTCGTGTGATGAACCCTTGCGTACGCATGTTTATTCATGCATGTGTATGTGTGCACGCGCATGCTCTTGCGTGTGTGTGTATGTGTGTGTGCAAGTGTGGGTGTGTGTGCAAGTGTGTGTGTATGTGTGTGTATGTGTGTCCATATACACGCGCGCACATGTGCGTGCACATCTGAGGCCTTCATGCCTCAAAGCGATCAGAACCGCTGGCCCTCTACCCACACTGCCGCCCCTGTGACAATTTGCTCTCGCCAGGGGACGGCCACCCCGCTCTGCCAATGCCACGTCAACCACAACGCAACACGATGCCCTCACCCGCCGCCACCTCACCCCACCTACACTCTGCAAACCCCCAGACCTGGTGGTGGGCGGCGTCCCCCTCACGCTGCTCGACACAGCCGGCATCCGGGACTCGACCGATGAGGTGGAGGCCATCGGGGTTGGCAGGAGCCAGGCCGCGGCCTCGAACGCTGACATTGTGCTGATGGTGCGCGATGACAGACAGCCGCGCGAGGATGGCAATGCGCCGAGACAGAATGGATCGGCCTTGAATCTGCCTCCCAGGCCTTGCTGCCGCGATGAGATGAGGTGGCTCGGCGGAGCCACGTGCGCGTTAGGCGGGACGGGATGCGCGGGCGCCTTGCCGCACTCACCTCAGCGTGGATCCCGCAAACGCGGCTGTGCTGTCCAGCCTCAGAGTGCTTACCTTACCTCATGCGCCGCCGCCGCGGCTGCCGCTGGGGGTCGCGCCGTAGGTGGTGGATGCATCGGCGGGCTGGACTGAGGCCGATCAGGTCATCTACTCAGACCTCTGGGGCAAGGGGCCGGGCACGAGGTCGTGCCGCGTTAAGGGCATGTCGCTGCTGGTGGCCAACAAGGCCGACCTGGCAGGTGGGGGATTTGTGAGAGGGACTGGTGGCTGGTTCATTGGAAGGTGACGGGGGCACGAGATTCGCACCCTGGTCCTCACACCTGCGTTCCTGTGCATGCGTCTTTGCATCTGCGGTCGAGCCGTGCAGAATCGCTGCCGCTTTGCGGCGAGCCCAGCTGTCTGGATTTGTCCTGCCGCTGCGGCTGAGTGCTTGGTTGCCAAGACACGAACCTCTCGTGGCTCTGCTACATTCAACTTGTCATTTCCCACTCCTCTCCCGGTTTGCAACATCCTTACGGTAATGCCCCTTCCTGTCATCACTTCTCATCACACTACAACAAGGGGTGGCCCTGCCCACCTCCCTGCCACGCCGCGCCTTGAGCCTCGCCCATCCTGTCCCGTTCAACGCGCTAGCCGGCAATCAAGCATGTCCCTCACCTCCCCCTCACCACACCCAAGCACCCACCCCTATTTGATCACCCCCTCCCTCGTTCAGCCCAATCACGCCATCCTATGCCGGAGGCACCCCTCCGCGCGTCCCCAAACACTCTCGCACGCGTCCCCATTGCTGCCCATGCTCCCCCTTTTCGTCCTCCACCTCCTTCCTTGTCCCCCCCCCTCTTGCCTCGGCTCCCCACCCGGCCTGAACCCCGATCCATGCTGCCCGACCCTAAACCCCGCATCGCCGCAGGCAACCAGGAGGTGCCCCTGCCCCTGCCGGTGAAAGAGGCGTTTCGCTCTGTGGTGCGGACCTGCGCGGTCAGCAGGGACGGGCTGGGGAGCCTAGAAGAGGCAATCCTGCAGGTGGGCGTGTGGCCAGGCCGCCGCATGCGGCCGTGAGGGGGTTGGGGTTGTGGGGTTGTGCCGTGCTGTGGTGCTTGATCGTGCAGTACGGCGTTGTGTCGTTTGGAGTGGGGCAGGCTGCCGTGTTGCTGCATGAGATCTTGTTGGAGGCCAGCTGGCATCCAAATGCCCTGACTGGCACTGCCAAATGGGCACTGAGGATGTCGTGGTATGGGGCCGGCGCAAAGGTTGCAGTATTGGGGCAAGCCCACGATGCAGCGCAGCAGGTGCTTCCATCCACGGTTTGAACTTGCACCACGCCGAGGGAGCTAACACCTCGAAAGCAGAGCTGGGCCCCGCTGGTGACTTTCCTTCTTCTTTTTACACCCCTTCCTCTGCTGCGCGCGTCCCTCTGCCGTGCGCATTTCTTGCGCACGCAGCTGGCAGGGGCCCCGCAGCTGGCGTCTGGCGGCGTGTCATGGGCCGTCAACGAGCGCCAGGCCGAGGCGCTGGTCAGGGCGCATGAGGCGCTTATGGGGGTGAGCAGGGGGGGGCGGTGGTTGGGCCGCGTGCGGTTGGAAAGAGCCAGGGCTTCGTGGGAGAATGCCTGGATAGACGTTCTTTGCGCCGCCCTGTCAATTTTTCCTCGGAATCATTTCCTGCATGTACGGGCGCTCACGCGCATGCGTGCATGCACACTTGTGTACGCACACGCGGGGACGCAGCCCTCTGCACACCAACATGAGCACCCCTCAGCATCTACACGCACACACGCGACTGTCTCGCATGCAAGAATGCCGGACGCACACATGCGTGCGCCAGCATACGCACGGCATGTCAAGAGCGCGCACACCCTCATGAGCACACACGCATGCCCGCTTGCACGGACGGCCCTGTACACACATATACTGACACACCAACACATTTACACACACACCCTCTCAGGTGTCCCAGTCCGTCCAAGAGGGTTTGCCTTACGACTGCTGGACCATTGACCTGCGCGCAGCGGCCATAGCCCTGGGGGAGGTCAGCGGCGATGAGGTGGCAGAAGAAGTGCTGGACAGCGTTTTCAGCAGGTGGGGGGCAGCGCGGGGGGGGCATGTATTTTTCGGGCATGCGCACACAGTGGTGTGCCGTGCCGTGTGCAATGGTTGCAGACGCCTGTGTGTGCTGCGCAGTGCTTGCAATTGTGATGCTCACCCTGTACATTGGGTGTGAGTTGTATGTGTGCGTGCGTGCGTGTGTGCGTGCGTGCGTGCGTGCGTGTGTGTGTGCGTGTGTGTGTGTGTTTTCAGGGAGGACGATTGTGCATGCGAGCAGGTTGAGGTGGCCATGAGCAGAGTCATGGCGGGGCCGCTGGGCAACTGTTGGTGCAGAGAGCGGGTTTTGGCTTCTGGCCTGGTCCTCTGCTGAGCGGCCACCTCGCCAACCTTTGCAAAACGCCCCATGCCTGCAGGTTTTGCCTTGGGAAGTGATGCGCTGCTGCACTGCAGCCTGCGGGTCGTGCAGTATTGCCGTGTTTTTGCCCCGCCGGCAAAGCAGCAGTGCATCATGGCGGTCTGCTGCGAGCGGACCCTGAGTATCCTTAGACCCTCATCTCAATCGGTGCTGCTGTGTCATCGAGCCACAAATCATGTTTTTTGTGCTCACGATTTAATGCGCTCGTCCTGGGCACATCTATCCTGAAGGGCGCTGCAAACAATGCACTCTCATGAAGGCACGAGCCAGATGGAGAACGCTGCTGGCTGCGGCGGGCGCACCACCGTGGCCAGCGGCGCCTGCGCCCTCCAGCATTGAAATTGCGAAGCTTTGCATGACGTAAAATTTCGTCTGTCACTTGCTTGCGTGGGCTGCTTTGCAGGCTGCACGTCACGCGCCATGACTCCGTTCTGTAATTCTCGCTGGGCCGCGTGCAACCGTCCTGGGACGAGTGCAGCGCAGGAATTGCGAGCACCATCCACAGCTCTCAGTGGAAAAAGCAGCCGACGTTTATCTAAGTATGAGCGTCTGCCAGTGTAGATCGGTTACATGGTAGCAGTCGGTAGGTGTAGCCCCTCGTCCCACTTTTGAAGACAGCGTATATCCCTGCTGTCGATAAGTAATATAAGGCGCAGCAACCATGGGGTACTCTCCCAAATCCCGCGTGAACGACCTCTTGGGCGGCGTCACGACGCGCCCGCAGCGCAAGGGGCGCTCGCGCCGCTTGGGCCTGGTCATGCTCTGGCTGGCAGCGGCGGTCGCCATAACCGGTGTTTACCACTTTGAAACAGTCTACCGCGTCACTGGAAAGGCCGGCACCTGGAAGCCGCACGGCGGCAGCGGCAGCAGCAGCGCCGCAGTGAGCGACCTCTCATCGATGGCGGAACGCGGCGCCAGGGGCAGCGCAGACGCCGCCGACGGCAGCGGAAACCGTGCCATCGATCTCGCAGAAATTGTGGGCGAGCAGGCTGATGCAGGCAGCATAACTGAAGAGGAGCCCACCTTTGAGGCTGTAGATGTTGCCAGCACCGAAGAGGCTGCAGTACCGGAGCCGGCAGCTGCGGCCGTGGGAAGGCGGCTGCCGCCCATCCCGCCCCGCGCCCTGATGCTGGCGTCGCACAGCCGCCTGCTGTGGTACGACCCCGTCACCGACGAGTCTGTTGTCATCCACGAGGGCGAGGTGGGCAGGGTTACGCCAGGCCGTGGTGATCGATTGGGCGGCAGTGGCCCAAATTTATCACTGTCCATGGCCACCCTGACCCTCAGCTGCCTCTGCTGCCCGTCCATGCACGCCTTGCTGGACTCGCCGTCGCTCTTGGGTGGTTATCGTCACGCCTTGACGCCTTGCCTGTGTCCCCCGTGCGCCTTGATGCCCCCGCAGGGTGTTCATTACGGCATGTTCCCTGGGGCGGGCTCTCCCGCCACCAGCGTGTGGACTGCCGTGCGGCCCCACAACTGGCGCCCCACCACCAGCCAGGAGTACCTGGTGGAGTTTGACCTGCAGACAGGTGGGTGGGGCTGTCGCTGCCCTACAATGGGACCCAAAATGTTCTGAGTTCGGCAGTCAGGACCAGCTGGCCGCAGTCTCCGTCTTGCTGCCTGCGCAGGTGCGAGGGTTTGGGTTCTGGAACTTTGGCCTGGCTGCATTTTCTCGTGCCTCTCCCACCGCAAGCCAAGCCGTATTTGACGCGCCACTTGGCAACCTGTTTACCAGGTGCCGAGCTGCGGCGCATGCAGACGCCGTCGCGCTTCACGCATGACGTGGTGCGGTCTGGCGACAGGGTGTACGTGTGCGACACCGGGAACGGCCAGATCCTGGAGTACCACTTCCCCTCGATGACGCTGGTGGGTAATCCTCCTGATTATCGAATGGGCCAACATAGCGGTGTGACGGCTCGAAGGTTGGCTTTGAGTATGGGTTGCGTCGGGGAGGACACGGACTGGCGCGTCACTTCACTAAACTGCAGCATGATCAGTGAGGTGTTGAGCGACTAGGCCTGGCTACGCAAGAGATCAGTCCTCGCGCCCAGCTTTGTCCTCAACTGACTCAGACTGCGCCTCATCTGGCACCGTCCCCGCCCGCACACCCCTGTGACCCTCCCTTGCAGCTGCGCAAGATGGCGCTGTTCACGCTCAAGGACCACGCCAACACACTGGCGCCCTTCCAGGCCAACGAGACGCTGGTTGTCCTGCACAACCTCGGATCGGTGGGCGCTGCTCTGCACGACCACGCACAGCCTTGGAGCCGACCTTAAACTGGGCCGCGATGTTGTGATGTGCAGCACACTGCGTGCAATCAACTTAGGCCAAAGCTGCGATTCACCTGTCACGTCCGGTTCACATTCACCTGCCCATCAGTGTTTGAATACAAGCAAATCATACATGGTGACATGCGTCTCAAAACTCTCACAGAGCGACATCGTACGCGTCGACACGACTAAGGAGCCTGCCGAGATCATCGGCCGCGTCCAAGGCGTCGGCAAGAAGGCCCACGGCCTGGTCAAGTGGCACGGCGCCTACATCCTCCTCGACTCAGACAATGGAGCCCTGTCCACTGTGAGGCTCGGGGCCGGTGGCGCCAAGGTCACGCGGCTGTGGAAGGCGCCGGAGCCCAACAGGTGGGTGGGCGGTAGCTGGCGGCTTTCAGGGGACAGCTGCTGTGTCGCGCCAGCATCCGGCGCAGCCCCCGCTGGTCTGCTGTGTGGTCTACCGTCAATGCTGCAAAGTTGGACATCGAGGTAGCTTTGTATGCACCGCCCCGTTTGCCCTTGCATTGATGTGTCAAGTCTTCAGTGGTGGCTCACTTGCCGCCCCTAATCCTTGCCTTTACAACCGCAAACCCCTTCCAGGTTCCTCAAGGGCCTCACAGTGGTGGATGACGTGGCGTACTTTGGCATTTCAGAGTGGGCCCCCCGCGACGCCCGCGACGACCCCCGCACCAACTGCCAGCTGGCGGCGTTTGATCTGCTGGCGAACAAGCTGCTGTGGCGCCGGGAGGTGCGCGTTTGATCCTCGGGCTTTGTTGCATCCCGCGGAGGGTTTGGAGGCGTGAGCTGAGACAAGTGTCAGAGAGGTCGGCACAGAAGAGGAGTCGCAGCAATTGGAGCGGCCAGGCACATACACATATGCCCCCCACACAAGCGCGCGCACACACACACAACACACACACAACACACACACAACACACACACACACACACACACACACACACACACACACCCACGCACACAAACACAAACACCTTGGTCCCCAGGTCCCCACTGCCGGCCTGCTCAACATCGTCGGTGCGCCCCACTTGGCAGAGGACAGCACCTACCGCGCAGCATACACGCCGAAGCGAGCCAAGAGCTACCGCACAGACAAGTCAGATGCGGTGGTTGCGGCCGCCCTCGAGTCTCAGGAGGCGATGGGGTACTCGCCAAAGGTACGATTTGGCACGTGGATTTGACGGCCGTGGCGCTCCAGAAGGGCGCCAGCGTGATACCTGAGGATGAGACCTCAACGACAGCTGGAACGTATCCCTTACAAAACAGAGGATGCAAGAAAGGGTACCCGTTCTCGCACCTGGGCTTTTGCCCCATGCTTGAATTTTGCATAGGTCAGCATTACCTGGATCCAGCAACCCATTCCCAAGTATGCCAAGGCGTTCATGGAATGGCGCCTGGCCCGCTCGCACATGGCGACCTTGGCATGCCACCTGCACATCATGGATCGCAGGTTGGCGGTTACTGGAGCAACGGCATGCCGTTCCTGGACGTGGCAGTCAAGGCGACTCCCACACCCTGGACGGGGGGCCTGCAGGTGATACGCGGCCACGAGAACGCCACCACAACTCCCACTGCCGTGTGGCCACGGGTGCAGCGGCTGGAGGGGGCTTGAGTGTTTCGTGGCTGCTGCCTGGCAAGCCGTCTGCAAATCGCTGCAATAATAAGTCTCGTGGCATCTCATGCGACCATGCTTGCCTACAGAGCAAGGCCAAGATGGCCGCTTTGGCTGCACAACTCAGCTGACCCATCCGTCAACCCTACCTTCTCTACTGAAATCCCCACAAATGCCAAACAAAATGCACCCAAACCCAGGTACCTCTTATGCACCTCGACGTGTCCGAGGCAAAGGAGTTCCTGACCTCGATGCCCCCCGAGGTCTGGACGCACGAGTACCAGGCCACCCACTCCGCCGCGATGGGCGGCCGCGACACCAACATGAACGCGTTCAAGCCAGGCGTGCAGGGCATCACGCTGCTCTTCAGCGCCGGGTCCGGGGAGGGGCCGGTCTTCGAATTCCCGCTGTACAAGAAGTTCGCGGCGGTGCTGGAGCCCCTGATTGAGGAGGTGCGCGGACTCATGGGTGCGGCGTGTCCCTAGAAACCGTTTGGGCCCACAGTATCACAATCATGTATACGCAACGCCCCGCGCCATGAGCGACCCCAAGTGCTGGGAGAAGCAACGCCACCATGGCTGCAGGGCAGGACAAAGAGGAACGCATCAACCCAGGCGTGCTTGACGCCCACCAATGTGACCGTATGGAGCTTGCGCCATCCCTCACTGCCGCCCCTTACCTTCCTGTCTCCGCCCCCATCTGGCTTCCCGCCCGTGTCCACCCCCCGCAAAAAAACCAGATGATAGGCGCGCCCGACATGGCGAATATCATCCGCCTGCAGCTCGCCCTAATGAAGCCCAAGGTCTCAGACATCCGCATCCACGTGGACACCGGCGGCTATGCCACCTATGCCCACCGCCTGCACATACCGCTGATGACTAACCCCGGCGTGAACTTTGACCTGTGCCCCTTCAAGGACGAGGCCAAGACGCAGCAGGTGGGCTCGCGTGCTGGAGCTGCTGGGCGGGAAATGGGGTTGCTGTATTTGTTTGGGGATCCTGTTTGCTGGTATTGTGGTGTGTGTGTGTTTGCTGAGTGCCAGCTGCTTGGGACCGCTGATGTGTGCGTGCTGCACTTCTCTCAGAATGCCATTGAATGATCCTCGGCAGGGAGCAGCACGATGCTTGGGCAAGGATACATGTCATCGGGATTCAAATCACTCAATGCTTAACGCAACACGCGTTTGTCAGCGCGCCTGCACCCCCATCACGCGCTCATCCCGCAGGTGTGCTACAAGGTCCCCACGGGCGAGGGCTTTGCATTCGAGCTCAACAACAAGGTGCGCGCCGCAGCCTCTCTGCTCGCATCCACCCGCACGGCCAGCGATCATTTGAACAGGGCTGAGGCTAGAGCAGCGCTGCTCAGCACCCCATCCACCTTCTTCCCCTCCTCTTCCTGGCCTTTTCTGCGCACCTCACCTTGCCCTGCTGCCTCGACCCCGTCGACGCACGGTGATCAAGGGAGCGCTGCCCCTTTGTGCGCCCATCCACTTGCAAACCGCATCGCGGCCACGCGTGCAGGTGCCCCACCGCGTGGCCAACACTGGCGATGAGGAGCGCGTGCACCTCGTCGTCGACATCGCCGAGGTCCCTCGGACGCGCATTACCTTGGAGCCCGGCACGATCTGCAGCTACGACGTGAACAAGGGGCTGTTCTGCGGCGAGCACGGCCCCGACAGCATCCCTGCGTCAGTGCCGTCCATCATCCCTCCTGCCGCCGCGGCCGCCGCTGCTGCCGCCGCCGCCGCCAGGTCGTCGGCGGCCCAAGCGCCAGTAAGCGGCGGCCAGCAGGCGCGGCAGCTGGCGCCGGCGCTCGCGGTATCAAGGGCAGCTGCGGCGCCGGCGGCGCGGGACGGGGCCGCGGGGCCCCAGAGGCCGGCGATCGAGCAGGACGACCCCAGGCTGGTACCTGGCGCAGTGAGGAGCGGCCGCGCCATCGGTGCTGCCGCGCCCACGGCCAGCTTAGGTGCGAATGAGGCGGCGATGAGGGCACGTGCACAGCTGCTGCGGCAGCAGCTGCTGGAGGCGCAGCTGGCGCGAGTGGCGGGCGAGCAGCGTGTGGGTTGATTTGAGCGGCCGACTTTGGTGGCAAATGCAACCTGGGACGCCCTGGTCAGTGCCATTGACAAACACAAATCTGCGTTTCTCAATTTCCCAGATTGCAAAGTTGTCGTGCAGACTGCTCAACATGCTGTAAATTCTGGCAAACATGCACTGAGTATTATTGCTGCCCTGCAAACGGCTGTGGTGGTAGCAGTGGTCCACACTTGGCTCTGATTATGGCAGCCTCCTGGCCCTGGGCTGCCACCACACAAGCAACCGCTACCTGCAATGGTAGCGATGCTCAGGGTTTGTCCCCTCAATTGCTGGCCGGCATTTATCAATGCTGGCAGATAAAAGCATAATGAGGCCTGCAGGTCGTCAGGAGCGTTCTGGTACACTCATCCACGTCAGCGGTCAATCCCCGCGACTGAAATTCAGATGCACCCCCGGCGCACATCCACACCTGCGTATTCCTCTGAATTGCGAGCGCAAGTGGCCAGCGCGCCGAACAGCCCAGCTTTGCGCGGGGCAGGCGCACGCCTCACAGCACACCTTCTGGCCCCTGTCTGTCGCCATGAATCACACCACCATTCATCTTACATCGGCGAACAGACTGATGGGTGACAAATGGCAATCAATTAATAACCAAATTCACCGCCCAGCTAGATTGCAACGTCAGCAGTGTGTTGGCAATGCCATCAAATGAGGTCAAACAAAAGCCGTATTCGGGCTGTCATACACAAATCACAGCGGGGGAGAAGCAATAAGCGTGAAGCATGACCGCACAATCAAATTCAAACATGCGAAGGGTGACAGGTGTTTGCAGTGGCGCAACTTGCCCAGCCAGCCGCCGGTCTGTCTGTATCCTCACCAGCCACATGCAGCCCAGCGGGGCCGCCGCCACCCTCACCCAGCGGGCACCACGGCCACCGCCTCCTCGTCGTCCCGCCGGCCCCCGGCCCCGTACCGCCGCCCCATCGCCTCGATGCATGCCACAGCGATGTCTTCTGGGGCCGCCATGGCGCCCAGCCCTACGTCGCCGCAGGCCAGGCGCTTGCCCACCGGCGGGATCACCTGAGCAGAAGAGCATGCGTGAATGTGTTCAGGCAAATGTGTGCTTATGTGCATGTCCGTGCGTGTGTGTTTGTGTTGCATGTATGTGTGTGTGTTTGTGTGTGTGTGTGTGTTTGTGTTTGTGTGTGTGTGTGTGTGTGTGTGAGAGAGAGAGTGTGTGTGTGTGTGTGTGTGTGTGAGTGTGTGTGTGTGTGCACGCGCGCACGCGCACACGTACACGTGCGTATATGTGTATGCGTGCCCTGTGTGTCCCAACTGACAAGTGCAAAACTGACGATGCTGTTGAAGTTTTGCGTGGGACGGCCCTGGGTGACTATCAATTGCATTCAGCGCAGTCGCCGTTGCCGCGCCGCCACTGCCGCCGCCGCCCCTGCTGCCGCCGCAGCAGCCAGACGCGCCGGCAGCAGAAACGCTGCCCTGCGCCGCCAGGACCCGCCCCAGGCCCCTGAGGGCCGCCCACCTGCGCCCCCAGCTTCTGCAGGACCTCCAGGTGCTGTTTAGTGAAGGGGCTCTCCCACATAAAGGTGTTCATGGCAGGGGCGACCTTGGGACATGGCAGGGATCCAGGGGTGGGGTGCGGGGGTGTGGACACATCGGCAGGGACAGGATCGGCCATCTGAGGGCAGCTCGGTGCGACGGTGGTTGTGGCATCTGCAATACATCAAGAGGCTGGCGGGTAGCCGCCGCCCCATCCTCGCCATCCCCTCGCCCCGCCCTGGCCATCGCGCGGCGCGGGCCCAGGCGGGCGCTGGCACGCAGCAGGCGCCGTGCCCACCAGCAGCGGCCGTCTGAAGTCCCATGCGCGCACGACGCACGTCAGGAGGTTGTCGCACAGTCCGCCCGCCGCCTTGGCCAGCGTGTTGGCGGAGAGGGGTGCTATCAGCAGCAGGTCGGCCCAGCGCCGCAGCTCAATGTGGACCACTGGGTCTCCCACCTTTGCAGGTTCGGATTATGTGTGTGAGAGAGAGAGAGAGTGTGTGTGTATGTGTGTGTGTATGTGTGTGTGTTTATGTGTGTGTGTGTTTATGTGTGTGTGTATGTGTGTGTGTATGTGTGTGTGTATGTGTGTGTGTGAGTGTGTGTGTGTGTGCGTCGTGAGAGGAGGGGCGGCTGGTTGGTGGGTTGGAGGCAGGCGCATGTATCATTGTCGCTCGAAACAAGAGTATGGATTGGAGTCGTGGATGCGGCCCAGCCAGCAGGTTGGTTTTTTTATCCCGTAGCGCCTTTGCGGCTGCTGATGCGACGATGGGGCGGCAGGGGGCGGCACTCGCCTGCTTCCACTGCCGCCACTCGTCGTCGTCCTGCGTTTGAGCGCGCGTACGTGTGTGGCGGATGAAGGGCCGATGAGCGAGTGGTGACGGGCGGCGCATGCTGCGGCTGGGCACATGGCAGCGCGAGCGCCAGCCTGCTGCAGCCGCACGCCAACTGCCTCGGGCGCCTCAGAAACGCGCTGCGCCGCTGCCTCCATTCTCCGGGCCAATCCGTGCGCCGAGCTGGCTGCTGAGCGCTTCCTAATACACTGTTTTGCACCCCTGATCGCACCAGCACCGCTGCAACGGACGGCGACGCTGCCGAATGGCTCCTCAACCCCGCTCCTCCCGAGCCCAAACCCTTGCGCCCTGCGGTCCCATAGCCGCTTGTCCCAACCAGCCGCTTGTCCCAACAGACCAGTGCTGTGGCCGCCTCCTCCGCTCACCCCCAGCACTGGCCGCACCGCCTCTGGTAGGTCTGCCTCCTGCACAAAGTACCTGGATGATGACGTGGTCACCACCCTGACGTCAGCAAACGCGCAGAGGCACTGGCACAGCAGGGGGGCTTTGATGGTCGCGACGCTGCCTGGGGGGGAAGGGGAGGCGTGGGGCTGAGTTGGTGCGATGTCGGGCGGCGAGCCCTAGGGTGGATAGCGCACGCTGCCACTGCTTGACCATTGTAACAGGTAAGAGCATCTTCCTGGGCGGTAAGGTGTATATTGTGGCCGGGGCAGCAGCAGAACCACATCATGGCCGACTGCGGCGCACCCGACAGCCCCAGCAGCACCCTCGGCCGGCGCCTAGCTCCCTGCGGCGGCTCCTCATCATCGAGTGCCAGCGCTTTCAAATTTGACTCTGTAGATCGATCGCTCTCAAGCGCCATTGGCAGCCAAGATCGTCGCGGTGACGAAGGCTGGGCGATTGAATCAGACCTCTCGACACCAACGGAAAGGTTGATCACCGTATTCAAGGAAGACAACAGCGTAACATGCTATATCGCTATCCTGCTACGCTGTGCCTTTGAGCGGTCTCATCAGACGCGCTGCATGCTTTGCACTCATCATGCACCGAGGGAGCGATCAAAGGCACCTTCCTGCGCCCAGCCCGCCTACAAATGTCCGATAGATGTCGCAATTCAAGTCATTCTCACACGCATAGGTGAAGTTTGCATGCCATGCTGCACTGAAGTCATTGAAGCGGGTTCGGTGCCAGTGTATTCCAGGTGCCATGCGTTGACTGGCTTCGCCGAGCGTCCCTCCAGAGCATTGACACCGGCACCTGCTTGTGACCTTCATAGTTATGCAACGCAGATGGTAGCAACTGGTTGGCAACAGCTCATGGCGCCCGCGATGGCAACCAGCACAGAGCACGAGGTGCTGCGTGATTGACTGCATCATGTGCCGCTGATGATCGTTCAGCAACAACTGTCCCATCAGCTACGCTTGCGCCTTCATGGTTTTGCTAGACTCACACCAGCCGCGACGAGGCGGGAGCTGCATTCATAGGCTAAGTCGCCTTGGCTGTGGCCAATTTTTGGTGCTTGGGGCGGCGCTTGGAGGTGCGAAGGATGCTCAGCGGCTGTTGAAGCATGTGCAGTGACGTCAGACTGGGGCATTGGCGCTGAAATGATGCCGCCATGCACTAGAGCTGACAGACATCGCGAAGGCTCTCATGCCCAGCGACATGCAAATTTCCTGTTTCCAGCACACATACAACACAGCCAGACAGCGGCCTGAGGGGCTGCCATGCTAGTTGGTTGTCTTTACTGACTGACACACTCTGCAAGATGTAACAAGCAGGCAAGCGGATGCGGGCATCGCTTTTCAAGGGAACTGCACAGCACTCAGGGGATGCCACAACCCTCAGCGCACACCAAAAGTGCAAAAGAAATCGTGAACAAGCTTGTAAACAGTCGCCTCGGGGATGTCATTGACACCCACCCAGTCACAACAACCGAAATTACTGTAGCGGAGCAGCTGTGGCGTGATGCCCCGTGCGTTTTGGACTGCACCTTGCATGTGCCTTCTTGACGCTGCGTTTGCAACACCAGTATGCTGCAGCCAAATGCGACAAGCGGCCTGACAGGCGGCAGCCGTAAGTTGACGGAGATAAAGCCATGCAGCAGCGGAGGCGCAGCTGCCTGATGAGCTGCGGTTACGTGTTGCTGCTTGCTACGGTGCCGGTACCAGGCAAGCTACCAGGCGGTCTCTGCGAACTTTTTTGAGGCAAATTTTGAACTCAAAACACCTGACAGTACGTACCACTTAGAAGGCACACCAAGTGATCTGCGTGCATTGTCGCCTATTCCGGGAGAGTGCAGAGTCCTCAAGTAGGCTTTCAACACGCTTATAGATGAGCATATTTTCACGACGGACAACGGGCAACCCCGGGCACGGCGAGCTATGTTTGACCAGCTAGATGCGCACCAGCGCTGCTCGCTGCTCTGGCCCTTTTCAGGAGAGACCCAGCTGCCAGGCACTGCTGTCGATGATATCTCTAAAATATGTTTTGGCAGCTGGGATCTGGGAGATGACCTGGCAAATCGGCAGCTCTTTCCTGTCGGTTTCTGGCCGTCCAGCGAAGGCAGGGACATGGAGAGGCGGCGTGCGGCAGCGATGCGCAGCACTGTCCGCCTCGTCAGCCACGCGGCCCGCGCTTTTGTGGACGCCTTGCCGCGCCGCGTCCACGTGATTTCGCCCACCGAACGCGACCTTGGTGCGCTCGTCGCAGCCGCGCCGCGCCTCGCCCCCATGGCCCGCGACCTGCGCGTCTGCGCCAGCTATGGCTTCGACGTCGCCGGGCTCGCAGCGGCGCTGCCGCGGCTGGGATTCTCGGAGCTAACCTCTCTGGTCATCTACACGCCCTACGAGGGCGCCTACTTCCAAAAAGACACGTACCAGGCCCTCGCTGACCTGGCGGCGTGCATGGCCCTGTTCCCGCGCCTGGAGGCGCTCGAGGTGCACGTGGACATCCCTTCCGACGACGAAGAGGAGGAGGAGGAGGCGGACCCCACAGTCGGCTTCGGGGCGCTCATCGACTCGGCGGCCCGCCACCTGCCGGAGCTACGGGTGCTGTGGCTACCCAATGGCGGCGTCGGGCCGGGCGGCGATCGCGCGCTGCAGCAGGCGCTGTCGCGGCAAGCGTGGCCGAAGCTGCAGGTGTGGACCGATGCGGCTGTCGTTGGGCTCATCGGGGGTCGCAAATAACCCGCTCTTCAGGGTTGTCCATGGCTTGCTTCTTACTCTGCACCCTTCATGTCCCGCGGCGCGCCGCGTTATTTGTTCATGGTCACTGCAACAAACCCTCCTTGACCGCCTGTTCCGTCACCCTTGCAGTACTTCTACGGTCGATCGACGCGGGTCGGAGCGATTGCGCTGCTGTGTGGCGTCGGGTGCCCAGCAGGCCTCAGGGCTTGCGTTCTGGATCAAATTAAGGGCGACGGTTACAGCGCGGCGCTCAACGCGCTCATGGCGGGGCCGGCGCGGTTCGCCAGCTTGCGGCACCTCTCGCTGGCCGGTCGCGAGCGGGCCGTCTTGAGTGATGCGGTGGCGCCCTGCGGCCTGCGGGGTGTGGAGCTGCCCTCCCTAGAAACCTTCTTGCTGCATTCCATCCGCTGGGCGCCAGGCGAAGATCCTGCCCCTCACCTGGCAGCGATGAAGCTGCCGCGGCTGCGCACGCTGTGGTTGGACATCACATGTTTTAAGGCAGTGTCGACGCTTGCGGCGGCGCCGTGGATGGCGGGGGTTGAGGAGTTGGGGATGACGGGCGAGATCAATGTGACGTCACAGCAACAGCATTGGCTGGAGGCTCTCAAGTCTGAGCCCCTGCCGTCACTCAAAGCGTTGCACGCCGGTGCAGTGCTGCCAGATGATGAAGAGCCATCCCCCAAAGACGGCAGACAGCGCATGTTGCCAGTCGATATCTTGCGACTGCTGGCGCAGTCGCCATGGCTGCCGCACTTGACGTGCCTGACCCTTCGTTTCTACGCTTTGCGCGACGACGCGGAGGCCGCGGCGGCATGGGCTGCTTTGGCTGCCGCCCCGCTGCACTCGCTGCGGCGCTTAGACGTGGGCTGCATGCTTCAGTTGACGAAACGCACGCTCGCCGTGCGCGGCCTGGCGAAGGCGCCGTGGCTGACGCGCCTGGAAGCCCTGAGGCTTCCTGATATCTTTATGGGCGAGGTGGCGCAAGCGGCCCGTGCTCTCCCTGTCTACCGTGAGCTTGAGGCTCGAGGGGCTCTGTTCCTGGCGTCATTCTAGGTGCTTGCCGCGGCTGTGTGTCTGCAGGTGCGGGTGGCCGCCCTTGCCAGTGATGGACGCAGATCACGCTCTCACATCCAGGCCACTTTGAACCTTGGGCCGCTCATTTCAGGTGGCAGGGGCTGATGTCATGCGTGTCTGCGACAGGGCTCGGGGCTTGCGTGCCGTCATCTGCGTTTTGTAAATGGGAGAAAGCAACCGTTACAGCGGCTTGAGCCCTCGCAGCGCCTGGAGACGTTGGCAGCCTATCCTTGAGGAGCTCGCCGGCGCAGGCCAACCTGACAAATTGTCATCAGCGGGCCCTTCAGATTGGGCAGCGGCCCTCCAGAAGGCATGCTGCCCTGCAGACCAGCCAAAGCAGCACAGCCCGGCTCCCCAAGGCGGCCGCCCCGCGCTGACGCAAAGTGCACGTCCAACGCAAGTGTCGCTCGAGGCGCAGCTGCGCTTTTGTGTATGTTGCTGACTATGCGCACGCAGCCCAGTACTCCGTTATCAGCATCATTCGTGATTCAAAACCGCGGCTTTTTACAACACTCAGCCCTCAATTCAAGCCAAATGGTTTCATCTATAACAACTTCAGGCCTCCTCCTTGCCAAGGGCGCACGCCTGCGTGCGTCACCCCTGGCAGCCGTCAGCGCCGCCCCGCCCGCGCGGCCGCTGCCGCCCCCGCGCCGCCTTTGCCCAGCCGCCCGAAGAGCCCCTGCAGGTCGACCCAGCGGTAGCCGCTGGCGTCGCGCAGCGCGCCCACCGCCTTGGCCGCCACGTCTAGGGCCTGGTGGTGTTGATGTGATGTGGTGGAGTGGGTGCAACGGGGTCCACAGGTGGTACTGCCAAGGCAATCAAAAAACGCTGGCGATGGTGTGCTGCGTCCTGCGTCAACGTGCTTTTTGCTGCACGGCGCAGCGCCACAGAGCACAGCGTGCCCAGATGCTGGCGCACTGAGCCCCCCTGCTGCCCCAACAGTGCAGGACACACTGCGTGGTTCACTTGTTAGTTCAGGTTGTTTTGGACGAGGGCCCACCTGTATGGTGGCGGGCCCGACCTCCTTTGCCGCCTGGTCCCTCAGTGCCCTGTCTGGCAGCGCGTCCAGCGCCCCCTGGGCATCAACCAGCCGGTGCAGGTGGCAGAGCTGCGGCGGTCGCGACAGCATAAACGCGGAGACGAGGGTTGGTGTGAAGGGGGGGGAGGTGAGTGAGATGGGGTGCGGTGGTGGCGGGCGGGGGCGCGGGCCGCAGGGCACACATGCCAAAGGTGCTCGAAGCGCGGGGGATCGGGTGCAAGAAGGGGGACGACGGGTTATTCCTGCATTGCATAAATGGATGCTGTTCCGGAGAGCACCTTGCAGGATCACACCGCAGCGGTCAAAGCAGTCAAAGCAGTAGGGGCTCACGTGTGTGTACAGCTTATCCTCCGTCACCTCGCGCCCCATCAGCACGCCCGCCCCCGCGC